CACCACATTGACCATTTGGCCAACACTAGATCGCCATGGTCAACCCTACACCACCATAGCCAACCCTACACCATCATGGTCAATTTATGGTCTTTTGGTCAAATTCTTTATCCTCTTAATTAATTAATTATTTAATTAATTAAAATAATGAGAATAAAACCTCTTAAGCCTAAGTTAGGATCCTAAAATCATGGCTCAATCTCATCCATCAAATTCGTAGCCCATGGAAGCCCAAATTTAAGGCCCATCCTTAGTAGGTTTACCCATGACCCAAGGTCATCCATCGCTTTAGGGTTAACCCATTAACCCTATCTAAAATCCAAGGGAGCCACCATTTTTGACCAAGACCAAAAGCCACATGAAGGGGAGGGTATATGGCACCTTACTCAAATTCCACATCACATCCTTTGAACCTAGGCGGACTTGCCAAGCCATCTCATTGCCATGTTGTTTACCCACCTCACTATCCTTCCAATAGGTTAGCCAAGAATAAAGAACATTCGCCACAAACCAAAATATTCATTGCATGGTATCCTTGGAGCCTGATTTCTGAGGTCTCTTTGTTCCATCTCCAGAGATATCATAATTTAATTCTCTTGTGATTCCTCTGTATCTTAAGTGTCTTTAGAGGTAAGCTATTTAAGGCTATGGGAGGATGGGTTTTCTCTTGTTCGTAGAGAAGCTATTTTTGGTGGATGCATAAAGCTCAATTTCTTACTGGATAATATGGAATCAAGCCCACTATAGTAGTTTTTTTTTTCAGAGTGACTTAATCTTTAGTGGATGGTGAGGTTGTGAGTTGATCTTTCCATCTCTTGTTTGGATAGTGAGGCACATCTTTTAGGGATCTAAAAAACAAATCAAGAACTGCTAGATGTGTCTTCTAGAAAATGAATTTGAGGTTTTGTGCGGGGATAATAACAATTTAAGTAATATTGTTTCACAACCCTGTCGTCATCCTCCTCCAAAGACCTATAAAATATAATTCATCGTCATATTATTAGCTCTACCTATAACAATGCATGTGTTGAATGTTAAAAAATTGATGCAAATCGACCACCTTCTTTGACTCCCATTATTAAACGCGGATTCCTACATACGTATTTAAAATCATGCTCTAGTTTTACAATTAAAAGCCAAGTTCCTATTGTGTTCATTTCATTTTGACTATTGCAACTCCAAAAAATAATTAGAAGTCAATGATCTTCCTTGACCTTGATGGTAATAGAAGAACACTAGATTTAATGTTTTGTTAATAAAATTTTTGGGAATAACTATACCAATCTTATGTCTGGTTATCTCCATATGAATGTAAGCCGATGCCATCATCATCATTAGCCTTGTTCCATCAATTTGAGGTCGACATTACTATTTCTCATATTTCATTCACTAATGTTGAATGTTGTCTAATGCGTTGATCTTATTCCTTACAAATCAATTTGTAATATTTATAGGCATGTAATTTTAGGTTTATATCCAAACCTTAGTATTGATTTGATACTAAATTTATCAACTTGTTTAACAGTTGCATTCTCTACCTTTTATTTAATATTTATAATCAATTAATTCTATTTGCAATCATATAAACTCTTAAAGATGTCACTCCAAACTTTTTCTTAACAAAATCATTCCTAGTTTTGCTACATCCATTATAGTATTTTCGTTTTCAACTCACTTAGAAATTAATGACTTTTGCAACCTAATAGTTGGATCTATATAGATGTTATACTCTTATTATAAAATTCTTTTAAAAGACTTCTTAATTTTAACTATCCACCTCATATCCTCATTTATATTTCCATTCGTTTGTATGTTAAATCAATGATATTTAAATTTATTACACCATAGTTGCACTATCTTCTAATAGTCTTACCCATTAAAAGTACGCATCTTGTACTTGATCATTAATTAATTTTAAATATTCTTTCTCTATACATTTTCTCCATTTTTTAAAATTTTCACTCATTTTTGTATATGTCTCACTGATTGGAACTATATCCTCTGTAAAAGGTATATACAAAGATATCTTGCTTTGAATAACTTCTGTAAGTATGCTCATTACTAACTCATAAATATATGGACCAAGTATTGACCCTTGATTTAAACTGATGATGATTAAAAACTTTTGATGCTAGTTAGTGTTCCATTATATGTTTCTTAGTAATGTCTATGTGGGCTAAGGGTAAGCCTAAATTGAGCTTTGTTCATAAAACATCACAATTGTGCTTCTATTCAATGATAATGACTTTACTTAAAAGCTTTCATTTTAGGGAAAACTTATGTGAGAGTTGGTTTTGCATCAATGGTCTCATAGATTATTATTTTTTATTTATTAAACTTGAAGGAAAAACCAAAGGCCATTAGTAACGAGATTAAGAAATCTTATTAGTTGGATGCTTTTTAAAGTCAAGCCATTAGTTCTTATTCTATTTATTTTTATATGATTTAAACAACTATTGCTATAGGAAATAATTGTATATTGTATTATATGTAGCTTTACTATTTGTAGAGCAAAAATATTTGACTGCAATAATCACTAAAGAAGAAATTGTGGAACCTAATAAAACTTACGGTGAGATAAAGAATGGTCTTTATATATATTAAATAAAATAATAAAACAAATTATATCAAAATAAGAAATTGTAAAACTAATTTTATTTTCTTACTTTGGTTTGTTGGTGCGACAACTACTAATGGTCACATATGAGTTTAATAAAATAAGAAAACAAATTCTATCGAAAAAATATTTAGAATGAAAGTAATTCTTCTCTTTATGATTGAAACTTGGCTCTCTCTAACCATATACTTGCATGTATCCATGTAATATTCTAGGCTCTTATCTTTGGATAGAGAGTCCAATCGATTTTGTTTTTCAATGTTAGAGGTCTATAGAATAACCTTTCTATTGTGTTTTATCTCTCGTTGTTGATGCTTTTTAAGTATCTGAACTTTTGATAGTTTAACCTTCAGATTATTTTCATTTAATTCTCTGACTGTGTTCATTCTATTATATTATTGAGATTATTCAAAATAGTGTAAATGGAATGCATTGAAGGCCTTTCTAATTTTGCATTATTTAAGACATTAACAATTTTAATATAAAGACATTTCCAAGATATATGTAGTAACACACAAGATACAAAGGATATCCAAGAAATTTAAATTTATTTAATTCGTAAAAAAATTCTACGCTTTTCTATTTCTTTCTATAGACAAAGACATTCAAGCACCACCTCACATGCAAATGCACATTAGGTGGGCATAGAATAAACATGAATGACATTTCTTCATTTGTTATGGGCGGTATCACGACCCAATTCGGTGCTTAGAATTAACTAAAGCGGAAACAACAGTTGAACGATATTAACATCTAACTATCCATATTTTGAAAACTTCAATACATATAAATGAACCACTAATCCATAAAGTACAAAAAAATCCAAAGGTTCTAGAAACAATAACATTCAAAGACAACATTTCAAGCCAGTACTAAACATTATATCAATATATGAAAAAAACAGTAAAAACAAAACTATTATTATAAAAGTATATAGCAGCAGTAGTCCTCATCCAGTAAACTAAGCCTTTCATATTAGACATATCAATCTATAAATTTTCTTTACCCGATAGAAAAAATTATTTGCAACCATAAGTATAACTTAGTGGGTAATTATAATCTAATATGCATTAAATTCTTATGCTACGCTATGTATGAACAAACAAAAGAAAATGCATTCCATTTTATCAATACTTTAACTTTATTCCTTCTCATTCCACTTTAAGCAATTACCATTTTTAGCCTTTTTAAAAATCAAAACAGGATTAGTGTCATTCTCGAATGTATCATAAAAAATGTACTCGAAGCTAAAAAAAAAGGTGTTCGAAGCACCCTCAAAATTATACCCAAATGTACCCTCAAATTGTACCCGAAGACACATCTTTACCATTTCATTTAACGTGGGCGGGTACATTGCATCCCATGTCAGTACCATCTAGGAGTAATTCTGTATGACTTAAACCCATACTTTTTATTTCATATGAATTAAAATCCTTTAGAATGTAAGTTATTTTACTCTCTTTCTTATGATATTTCAGGCTTTCAATATGCTAGGTATAACTAAAAAACTTATTTTAAAAAATTTAATAAAGCAATTATTCATTTACTAAAACATTAATTTAACACATAGAAGAAAATAATCACCCACCTTGATTTAAAGCGACTTCTGAAATAATTTATCGCTTCACTTTACTTTCTTCAATTAATCCTAATAAATTAAATATACATATATTTTTAAAGATCACATTCTAAAAGAAAGACTTACATATCTAATGACCTATAACTAAATTGACACATATAAGTCAATTAGAAAATTCCTTACCTTAAAAGTTGGATTTGCTTCCTTGCACAAAATTTTCATTTTTCTTTTATAAATTTAATTGATTCACCTCTAATCTTCTACCTTCATATCTGATTAAATTAAACATGTTATTAGCATTTAGTAAGTAAATCAATAATTTCAATTTAAGCAAATTTATATTATTAAATATTAAATACCTAGAAGATTTGATTTTTATCATTCACACGTAAAACTCAATTTCTCCTTGACATCATAAACTTCCACTTAACAGCCCTTTATAATGTAAGTGAATGTAGATTAACACAATAATTAATTAATTTCACTCTCATAAATATATATAACCTATTATTAATTTATTTAATAAAAAAATCTCAACCCTTACCTCCATTCTGCGCCCGACTGCCCTAACACGCACAAACGGCTCGACCCCTGCTTCCTTATCCTGCCTTCAGCCTGTGCTCGATCGAGCGAGCTCCCTCCTCTTTTTCCTTCGGGTTCGACTCGAAGCAGGCAGTACCCGGAGTTTTCTTCTTCCTCCTCTTACTTTGCGCGAGCACACCACGTTGGCGTCTCCTCCTCTCTTCTCCTACGCATTCCTACGCACTCCTACGCACTGCACCAGCGTAAGAAGCCGTAGCTTATCGTGGCTCAGTCCTCGATCGCGACTCGGTACAGGTAGGTTTTCGATGTCGCTCGACCACTTTACTTCTCCTTCCCTTCGATTTTTACTTCTTCTTTTTCCTTCTCCGAGGGGGATGCGTTCCTCTAAACGGCAGCGCTTCTCTATTTTTATTATTATTATTATTATTATTTTAATTTATGTTATTACAGTCTCCTCTTCTGGTAAAATTTGGTTTTGAAAATTTGAAATTAAACATGAAAGTGAACATACCTTAATTAAAAACTTGTGAATACTTTTCTTGCATCTTAAATAACTTCTCCCTGTACGAGAAAAATTTGCGTACGTAAGACATACACAGAGCTGTGTACGATAGCTAATAGGAGAAGACCACGTATGCATCAGCGGTCTCATAGCTTGTAACTTATAAAAGAAATAGGTGTTTTGCTGCGCGTGACGTGTCGACCCAGCTCACGACGGTAATTCGATTGTAACCCCGTTGTAGCCATGCAATACCTCCCGCGGCCGGCTCCTAGTAACGCGCTTGTAATCCCGTTGTAACTCATGTGTAACCTTCACCATTCAGACAGTAGTACCGCGCGTATAACCTGAGTGTAATTTCTCTATAACCTCGTCGCTGCGGAACCAAAAGTATACTCTTCGTGTAACTCGATTTTCATTGCGATGTAACAGATTATTAGGCCCGTCGCATTAGAACCGCGCGTGTAACCCTCATGGAACCGAGAGTACACCCTTCGTGTACCTACGATGTAACAGACTATTAAACCCGTCGCATTGGAATCACGCGTGTAACCTGAGTGTAACTGCGATGTACAAGATTAAAAATTGGAGCGCGAGCGAATCATGTTATTTAAGTAGCTAGGGTTTACTGTTTTATTGGTCATATTCTTTATTTTCCGACACCATTTTCTCCTGCAGTGGCACCTGGACCTGTTGAAGTTCAAGATGGACAACAGAAACACAAATTGTTATTTTATGTACAAAGCGGAAGGAGAAGAAGAGAATTATCCTGCCAAGAGAGAAGAAATGCACGTTAAAGTAGAAGTGTGTTCGGAGATGTCTTTTTTTTTTTTGGGAGATATTGCTTTAGTTGTTACAATAATATTGTTTACTGTTAGGGTCTTCTTATTTTTAGGATCTAGTATTTTTGGAGGTGTATGTTTGTTGAGGTATGTTTATACAGGTGCATAGTTTTAGGGTTTTATAAAAACAGTGAAGTAAATATCCTACCTTATAGGGTTTTATAAAAACAGTGAAGTAAATATCCTACATTTAACCCCAATAATCACAACTCAATAGCTAATAAAAAATAATTAAGTTTTTGAAAGTGCATATTTGTAGAGGTGTATGGTTTTAAGGTTATTTATTGAGCTGTGATTATTACGGTTTAATGTAGGATATTTAGCTTGACTGTTTTTTTAAAACTAATGAATCTTTATTATGGAAGGAACATATGAGAGTTTAGGGTTGTTTTTTGAGTTGTTTATAGAGTTTAACATTTTATTCTCTTGTGTGTGCAGTTTGTTGAGAGTGAAACTATCTGTATCGAGCAAATAACAAACATATTACTTCAAACGATGATCCACAATGAGAAAAACGTATAAAGTATATTGTGCTTATGCTCATCATATTAGATTTAGTGTTCGTAAGGAACACGTTACGTTTTGGCCCAACTCCAGGAATATTAAGACGAAGGACTTGGTATGTGGAAAAACATGTTTCAAGAAAGTGCTAAAGATCACAGAAGTTATTAACTACAATAAAATAGACAAAAGAATTATTTGCCCTGCAATGATTCGATACGCAGTTGATTAGGAAGACAATTGGACAGTCAAAAAATTCATTGGATCTCATAACCACTCATTAGCGAACACTGGTGATAAACACCTGTTGCGTTCCAGCAGAAAGATAAGTAAAGTCAATGCAGATGTGCTTAGGTCGATGACACATTCAGGAATAAAACCTAAAGACGTGTTTAACTTTCTAGCCAAAGAAGTTGGGGGTGTAGAGAACCCAGAATGTATAAATAGAGATGTTTTTAATTTCATTCAAAGAGTGAAGAGATTTAGAATTGAAAATGGTGATGCCAATGCTTTATTGCAGTTATTCGCAGTGAGACGTGCTGAGGATAACATGTTTGAAAGATTTTGAAACTAATGAGAGTGGTCGGCTAATGAGTTTATTTTGGAGCGACGAGACATCCAGACTTGATTATGAATGCTTTGGAGATATTATTTTTTATACGAGTTATAGATTACATAAATATAACTTAGGTTGTGCTCCTATTGTTGATGTTAACCATGATTGACATAATGTTCTCTTTGGAGTCGGATTCTTGTTAGAGGAGACGGTAGACTCGTTTAAATGATTTTTTAAAACTTTTATTCATATCATAGGTGATAATCATTCAATAACAATCTACACTGATTAGGATCAGACAATGGGTAGAGCCATAGCAGAGATTTTGCGAAATACATGATATAGATAATGTTAGTGGCACATATACAATAAATTATCTATAAAAGTTCAATGCGGGGTGGTGGATAAGATAGTCAATGATTTTTTTTATAAATATTTGAGCAAATGAAAGTCTGAAGAGAACTTTGATGATACATAAGAGGTGATGATTGAGACAAGTAATCTACAGAACAATGTGTGGCTAAATGAGAAGTACAAAATTAGACATAAATGACCTACAACTTTTAATAAGGATGTATTTGGAATGAGAATTTTATCGACCCAAAGAAGTGAGTCAACCAATACTATTTGTCATGGTGTCTCAAAGCTCATTAGTTCTATTATAAATTGTTTTTGGGCATTGAAAATGTCATGAAAACGTGGAGGCCCAACAAGAAAGACGAGGATTCAAGTGTGATCAATCTGTGATTACTCATGTCGTAAAAATCAGCTCAATACTGAAGCAGACAACTACATTTTACTCAAGGAAGTTGTACAGAATATTTGAGAAAGAGTTTATACATGGGTCATGTGGTCTTCAATTACATGCCTCTCTAAATAATGAAACTGAATTTTTCATTAAGAATTTGGATGATCATAGAGCAAACAGTACTTGGGTAGTTAATTTCGACAGTTTGAGTTTGAATATTCAGTGCAACTGCAGAAAGCTCAAAATGATGGGGCAACTATGTGCACACTCTTTATGAGTCATAAACATTCTATATATTAAGAAGATATCCGATAAATATCTTTTTTGAGATGGTCTTAAAATGTAAAAAGAGATTTATATAACAGTTATGGATAGAAGCATCTGCAGCAGTCACAAACGTTGAATGATATTAAAGGCGACCTAATATTTCGAACACATGCAAAAATTTGCATATCAAATTATCAATAAAGCAAATGAAAATCTAGAAGTTGAGCAGCACATGAAGGAGTCCATGAAGAAATTATCATTGGATATTGATGACATATTTAATTGGTAAAGGTCCTCAGCCAAGGAGACCACAATAAAAAAAAAACCTGTGAATAATGAATCAAAACTGAATGATCCTGCTAAAATGCGTCCTAAAGGAATATCTAATGCCAAACTAAAAGAGTATTGAGAGAGAAATAAAAGAGTAAAAAATATATTTTCACAACTTCAATATTTTTTCATATGTTTCATCAAACAAGTTTTTCACTCATAATCACTGTATATACAAGAAAACAAAAAGATATTTCAACCACCGAATAACAAGAATCATCACAATGTCATCCACCCATATGCTCACTGTCTGATTTTCTAACACAGATAAAAATATAATGCAAAATTATGAGCACAATGTTTCATTTTTTAATTGTTCTTGTTGTGGTATGTAAATTTTTTGTTACTGCTGTTACATGGATATATGTTTGTTCTATAACACTAATGAATTTCTTATACATAGTTAGATATATACTGCTGATATATGAATATATACTGCAGAATTTATTTGCTTCACGGACTAGGGAATCCTACATTGCCATGATGACGTATTCAATACATGAGACAACAATGCCTCAACGGTTTCCTTTTAAGATTTTATTGTTCGATTTTAAGCTAAAATTTATTTGCTTCACGGACTAGGGAATCCTACACTGCCATGATGGCATATTCAATACATGAGACAACAATGCCTCAACGATTTCCTTTTAAGATTTTATTGTTCGATTTTAAGCTAATATAAAATGAGTTCAGGTGATACACTGCAATCTTTTATATCTCTTTCAATGCCACCTTTCATATCTCAAAATTTGTGTGCAGATGTGATATCAATGTAGTAGCAAAATATGATAATTCAATACCAGGTGAATGAGCTTATGAAGATGTCAATATAACAGTCCTTCATATCTCTTTCAATTTCACCTTTCATATCCAAATCTTGTGTGCATAGGAGATATCAATATAACAACAAAATGTGATAATCCAATACTAGATTGATAAGCTTATGAAGATGTCAATATAATAGTCTTTCATATCTTCTTCAATGCCACCTTTAATATCCTAAATTTTGTGTTAAGAGGAGATATCAATATATCAGTAAAATATGATAATCAAATACTAGGTGAATAAACTTATGAAGATGTCAATATCTCTTGTTTCTTTTTATGTGCATAAAATTTATTTCTTGCTTGATATCCATATATTATATCTTGTTTACTTGCAGGTGTTGCTAACCACAGCTGCTATGCTGCTTTTCTGATGCAGAAATTCAGAAGTATAAAAGATGCTAACAATGCAGTTTTGACCTCCTTTAATTCTCCTTCATAACCTGTAACTGAAATTGGATGATAGTACAATTTAATTGTTCTATATTATGTAAAAAAAAATGATAAGAATTTGTCTATTAGGGTGTCTGATACTTAAGGTTGTATAATCCATTAGTCTTATGAAAGTGAGTTTGATAAATAAAGTGATGATTTATGAATGTGATTTCTATTATGCTTTCCTTGAAAAGAATACTTCAAGATTTCTGGGCACAATAATACAAATGGGAACTTGATTATTAAGTTGGAAGCTTGTTTTTTATTACACCCATACATAAGAAGAGGACTA